AGAGACTGTTACAACAAATGCTCACTGAAGAGAGGAAGCAGAAATACGACTTTTAATTACAATTCTTATTTTTCAAATGATCCAGTTTTATGTTCTGCATTAAAGAAAAATATTGCATTTTCATGTGCAATGCTGTCAACGGATTGCAAAGGCTTACATTCTCAATTTCATGGCTGCTTGCCTTAATACAATGTACTAAGGTCAGAACTGCAATAAAAACAAGTACACTGAGAGCAAAGACTGTTTTGGAAACTATAGTATATTCACTGGTTTTCTCATCTTGTTTCAGTGCCGCAGAAAATATATGGACTCAGTCAGAGATCAATATGATCAGACAAAAAGCCATTTATTACAAAGCCTTAACCCCTTAAATAGTATTTCTACTTGCACTTACAGTGATTTGGCATACTATGATTGGATACATGTCTTGAAGACCCTTTGCAACTAGCATATAATTGGTTAAGCAAAGGTGTGGGAACTTGACCTCAAAAGCTTGCCAACAGTCCACAGTTCTCATTACATCAGTGAATTCTAGCTTCTTCTTATCTTGCTTGCTTAAGCTTCCTTGGGCCTCTCACGGCCTTGCTGTATCTTTCAGGATTATTCAGAGTTTATGTACCAATTATCCATTCTCCTGTGAGAACACTGTCTCCACATCTCCCCCTTTTTGTTTTATATATGTTTTGGGTGACCCTACTTGAGCAGGGGATTTGGGCTAGATCATATCTCCAACATATGCCAACTACAGGCTGCTGGGCCTGCCCCTTTTTTCTCCTTTATGGCTCTCTGACAACAGGGGAGGCCATCCTTCACATCAAGGTCTGGCATGGCATGTGTCCCCACCGCTCCACGCCTGCTGGGTTGCAGCCAACGGCGGAGCTAAAGGTTCTTCTTGGTGGCAAACACAGAGGCCAACCCAGTCTTGCCCTTGGTTGTGGTAGCAGGCATTTTGTCAGCCTCAGTCCTTGCACCTTGTTGTCAATGCAGAGTTTCACCTGCTTCATCCAGTAACAAGTTGCTACTACAGCAAGGCACACACAAATTTACATTAGCAGAGTAACTATTACAGGGTGCAGCAGCGTGTTGAAGATGCTGGTGGTAGCAAGGGACTAGCCAAAGAAATTTCTTACCAGTGGAATTCTCCCACCCTCTTAATTTGTTCCATCACCTGCTTTATAACACTACCATTGTATTAAAATCTTTCTAGCTTTTGCCTTAGCATTTTCTAGCAGCTACTGCAAATTTCCATACTCTAACATCTCTTTTACAAGTGACAAATCTATAACAATACAAGGTGTAGTTTCTTATTAGCAACTAGTTAGTAAATACAGGTGGTTTTATACACGAAATCACAGCCTCTAATAATAGCTACTTTACAAGCACACATATTCAGGATGTTACTTTTCAGGTGTCCCCAAGTGATGCTTTGCAGTTATTCGTTTTTTCTCTTCCTCTATCTCATTCTGCTTGGGGTATTCACGGTCAGCTCCTGTAGCCGAGGCATCAGGTTTTTCCATTTGTCTGTCCAGCTCATGGCAAGGCTTCACAAACTTTGCAGGCAGTCCCGGTTATCAGTTCTTGAGAAGTAGACAGGATAAACTGCATATTTGCAGCATCATTGCTCTTTCCCCCTTTTCCATTTTTTTTTTTTTTTTTTTACCCCTGCAAAAGCCAGCCTGCTGGGCAGCAGCTACAGCTGCCTGCCTGCTTCAGCAGCGACTATAAATACCTGCCGGCAGCCGCACTTTTACATTAACTGTTTCATGCCCGAAATGTTAAACAGCTACCTGTTAAAAACTTTTACTTGAACCCAACAATACACAAAACACCGACTGCCCTCAACACACACACACGTGTGGGATCCCACAAGCACACTCCACACAAGTACAGTATCTGAAACACAAAAAGACAATTATTACTCTCACTACACGGTCCCACGTACAGAACGTAGCATAAGGACCCTGTGGAGACTAACAGAAAAACAGCTCCGAGAAGCACTGTTGCAGTGCAAGGTGGCACTCATCCTTAGCGGGCGTCCCCGCAGAGACTCTGCCTCCCCCACAGTGCATGAGGCTTGGGCTTTTATACTGACCAAAACGCACACTCATTCCAACACATGTGGCCAGCCTATGCTGGAAGAAGTGGCCAGCAATATCTACAAAGGTCTCCAAAGGTTGATAGAAACCTGGACATACTTATTTTTACTAACTTCTAGTTCATAAGTATCACAGAGAGACTGTATTAAATGAGACACTGTATGCCAAATACCCCTGATAAGAGCATACGAAAGACCTTCCCACCACCGAAAACACACACAATATGCCTGTATCCTGTGTTTGTCTCGCTGTAGGTTCTGGGGCGTGGGTGGAGGGTGGTGGGTTTTTTTGTTTGTTTTTTTTTTTTTGTGTGTGCTTTTTTGTTGTTTTTTTTGTTGTTTTTTTCTTTAAAGTAAAAGATTGCTCCCTTCACTTTAAGAAGGACTGAAAACATCCATAAAACGGAAGTCCTAAGCTGAAATTTCAATTAATTCAATCATGGACAAGGGGGTTGCCCTGGGGTGGTGCTGGCTCTTTCCAGGCTTTCACCCATCGAGCCGGCACCCACCGCAGATCGGAATCTGTAATTACGCATACAAAACCTCGACCAGTTAGTTTTACTTTCACAGGACCTTTCCAAATACTGGTTTCCAAATCCTTGTACTGGACCAAAATACCCAGAGTTTTAGTCATATAACCTGAACCTAATGCCTGACCATGTATTATAGCAGGGGGGTCATTAAAGTCTCCTGTCAATTGCACAAAATTCATAACATATACAGCTTTCTGTATCCTTGCTACAGGTGTATGTCCTTCTTCCCGTTTTTTGTTTTTCCAACAGTTGTTTCAAAGTTTGATGTGTTCGTTCAATAATAGCTTGTCCTTTAGTACCCCCACAATCACCCTGACCTTGTTGTAGAAGGGGTTTAACAGCAGCGACAAAGGCAGTAGCCATGTATCCAGCCTTTTCCTCTGCTGTGCCCACTTTAGAACATGCATCCATCATTTCTTGAAGACCAGCAGATTTTGGCAAAACCTGCAAAATACGCTTACAAGCTGGGTTAGCATTTTCCATAGCCAGAGACATAAGCATGGATTCTTTAGCATTAGATGCCAGATCAATATTCTTTTCGATAGCCTCTGTCAATCTGTCAATAAATTGCATATATGGCTCAGTAGGTCCCTGCTTTACTGATGTATATGAAGGATTAGGTTTTCCCGCTTCCGGCACAGCTTTCAGAGCAGCTAAAGCCAATTGCTGTACTTGCTGTAAAACTTCAATTTTCATACGAGCTTGTACTCCATCAGGGTGAAATTGTCCCTTTCCCAGTAACATTTCAGATGAAACACCGTGCAAAGGGTGATGAGGATCACACTCTAAATTCTCATCTGCAGCCTTTGCAGCAAGCTCCTCAAACCCACTTCTAAAATGTAGGAGCTGTGAAGGAGTTACACTCTGCTCCTCAGGAGACTCCCACCCCAGCAAAAATTCTTGGGGACTAAGTTCAGGGGCAGTAGCAGCATGAAAAGGGTTAACATCAGTTTGTTTTGGTTGCTCAGTAGCTACTGACTCCCGAGTATCAGCTGGAGCTACCACCGGTAAAGGCGTTGTTGACACAGGATAGAGGAAAGGTGCAGGGTCCTCAAGCTTTCATACTGTACTGCACTCCAGTTTTTGGCCAGAATGTTTTATGCCTGAAGCAGACGACACTACCATGGCTGTAGCACTGGGTGCTAAATCTAATGTAGGTGCCGAGCCCTGCTGTTGTGAAGGTGAGTCAGAGAGGGCTGTAAAAACGGATTTTGCCGCCTGTTTCTCAGCCTTCATTGCAGCTAGAGTCCCTTTTAGTAGTAACTAGGGGGCAGCAAGAGACTTCACCTCTTTAAACCCACAAGTAACTTGATCCCACAGGCATGCCCCAATTTTTTTCCAAGTCCCGAGATCAAAAGCTTCATTAACCCCCTTGATCAGCTCTTTTTCTTTACTCCAGAGCAACAATCTTTTTAACAGATTATCGTCATATTCTATCCCTCTCACTGAGAGGATATGCTGGAAGAGCTTAAGGATGACCATTTTTTCTTTACTTAATTGATTCCCCATCCTAACCCTTTTCCAGACCCCGTCGGCTGTTACCTTATTTGCACTGCGCAGTGTCTTCCGGGCTCACTAGGCTCCGCTCCGAGGCGACTACCTCCCGATCCTGGTCCTGCCGGATCGAACCCAGCCGACGTCCCTGCAGTTCCGCGTTTTCCACTTTCTTCGGTGCCATGCGCTTTAATTCCTTCAGTTTCAATATGAAAAATATGGGGGGTCCCTGTTCGGGCGCCATTTGCCGCAGAATATATATGGACTCAGTCAGAGATCAATATGATCAGACAAAAAGCCGTTTATTACAAAGCCTTAACCCCTTAAATACTATTTCTTACATGCACTTACAGTGATTTGGCATATTATGATTGGATACATGTCTTGAAGACCCTTTGCAACTAGCATATAATTGGTTAAGCAAAGGTGTGGGAACTTGACCTCAAAAGCTTGCCAACAGTGCACAGTTCTCATTACATCAGTGAATTCCAGCTTCTTCTTATCTTGCTTGCTTAAGCTTCCTTGGGCCTCTCACGGCCTTGCTGTATCTTTCAGGATTATTCAGAGTTTATGTACCAATTATCCATTCTCCTGTGAGAACACTGTCTCCACATTTCAGTCATACTAAAAATCTGCCTAAACCAAACATCTTTTAAATCCTTTAAAATCTTTATAAACGCGTGCTCTCATAACAATATGTTCTTCAGCAACAAAAGCCTAGCTGAGATTATTGACAAATACATTCAAATATTTTTAGAGGAAAACCCTCCCAGAGATACTGAAACCTTCACTGCCCACATGCCCCCCCCCCCCCCAAAAAAAAATAAAAAAAAATTCAAGCTTAATTTAAAACCAAAGAATGAGTAAATATGGATATCAGTTTTGGCCTCAGAAAATCCTTTAATCCATCAGATTTTTGCGTATCACTGAAAGTATGCAAGGAATCAGATGATGGTTTTCATCCTTGGCCAAGTACTGCTAGCATAAAAACATGTATTTAAGAACTGTTGTTTCTTCAGACGAACTACCTATGGTAAAAGGTAGCATTATCTTTAAATATAACACTTCATTTTCATCATTAAATGAAGACTGGGAGAATTGGAAACTAAGGTTTTAAACAAAAGTTTTGCAGCAGGTCATATTCAATTTTCAAGCACAACAGCAGTTCTTCTTGAAGGCCTCTAAAAGCACTTGATGAGCTTCTGTTGAATGCTGTCTCCCCTCAGACTGTTGTCTGTCCTTCACTGGCCTCAGAAGCTGTAAGGAAAAGTAATGAAGTTATTACTGTTTGCACCCAACTCCATATTACTTTCAGCTGCGGTTTACTGTATTGATTATACAAAATTACTCCACTTTGCTTTTTGTTCCTACCACTCTGATCACTTTACCGATTTTCTAGATGGGCATTTGACAGAATCAGTTTTCTTGGAAATACTATCAAACAGTGACCAAAGTACAGCTAATGAGTGTCACAGAGAAATTCATATGAGATATTCCAATGTGGACAGAATTTTTTCGTATATGCATTACTGCTCTGTATTCCAAGTATGTTTTGAAAATAGGATATATGGAAAAACTCAAACATATTCACCCTCAAGTAACCCAGATCTTACCAACATTCAAGAAAGAGACATTTAAAATCCTGATGTTTCCCATGTGACATAATTGGACAGCCTCAGTCTTTTTTATTTTGACTGCAGTGCTTTCCATTTTTGTCTCTTTTTAAATCAACAAGGAACGTCTCCCAGACCAGTAGTTCAGCATAGCTGGGATTTATTAGACTAAATCAATGGGAATACTAAAATGGGATGGAAGAAAAGGACCATCATTGCTAAGTCACAACAAAAATAGAAAGTTTAATTGTAGTACTAAAGTGAGATAGAGTCTCTAGTCATAACATAGGACCTTTTCTACTGAAATTGTAAAGAATCAGTCTGCAATGGAAATCTGTTAAATTCCTCTTACTTATGTTCTCGCATTATTTGCACAGATTTACAATGTAATTCTCAAGAATGAAATACCTCTGGAGTATCTTTGAAATATAAGTTCCTCCTAAATAGTCATTCAAAGCTTTGTTACCAAGCAGATGAATTTAATGTCAGGGAACTGCATTACATTAAAGGGAAAATATCAAAAGTGCATAATGGAGGCCTGCAGGAATTGCCTACATAGAGTTTATGGTGATTTTTCACAAACTTTTATGTGTCACTTCAGTTTGTCTCCTTCTTCAGCCTTCTGAGGTGCGTGCACTGTTGTGGGGTTTTACTCTGAAGTGTGTTGACATTAAACTTCAGAGGTCAGGAATTCAACCTGACATGTACCTTCTGCACCAAAAAACAAAGACAAGCTAAATCCATTAAGCAGAAGGACATTTCCCTGAACTACAGACTGACACACAAGTGATTCAGACATGTCTGTAAGAATCTCAGTTCTCTCCTTTACCCATAAAACCAGAAGAATTTGGCTGGTTTGTAGTGACTGTTTAGTGATATTTATTTGCCATGAAAACACACATTTGTGAAATTACTGTTCATCAAGTTAATAAAACAGCAGGGATTCACATTCTTACTCTCCTAGCTAAAACCAATGCAATTTTATTTCTGATTTTATTGTTGCTGCTGATTACATGAACTACGAGACAAAATAAATTCAAAAAGGTTTTTGTAACAAAAAACTGTCAAGCATATATGGTATTACTGATTTTCTTTTGTCACTTCAGCAACTGGAGCTTGTTTTTCATATTTACTGAATGCACCATTTCAAGTGTATTTCTCTTCATTATCAGCCATAAGGAAAAAAAAAAAAAAAATCAAGTAAATCCAATATCCTTCATGGAAGGATAATAAATTATTAACATTAACTAGTCCCAACGCATTCCCACAACATCCTCCTCCTGTCTTCTACCAATTTCTCTGGGTATTACTTCTCCCTTCAAAACAGCTCATTGTTTCATGCCCCGTCATTGGCATCTTTGCTTTTAGAGACCAATTTCCAGTATTTCAGTTATCTGAATAGTGCTGCCCCACCAGCTTCAATGTGCCAGGAAGATGACGGGTGCTCTTTTACCCTTTGGCTAAGTCATGAGCTCACCAAAGGACTGCTGAGCCCTTATAGCCTCTACCTTCCTAGGTGCAACAGGAGCCAAATAAAGGCACAGAAAACTCCTGGAGTTAGTGCAACCCTTTATCCTTGGCATGATCTGGGTTTTGTGTTGTTTTTGTGTTTTTGTTTTCTTGGGGGGGGGGGGGGGGGGTTGCTGGTTTTTTGTTTGGTTTACTGCAAATACGATACTTTGGATAGTATGAGATTATATGTGTTATGATGGAAGAAGTGCTGTTCTCCAGTCACTTTCCTTAGTTTACAGATATGCTTTCTCAGCTTCAGCCTGTAACACTATATCAATTTGGCCCACTAGCTATACAGAATCAACTTTCTTCACTTGCATATGAAACACATGCACTTGCGCTCTTCTAAGCCACACAGATTTTGTTTGCAAGAAAATTATGGCAAAGAAATACTAACTTTTCTGCTATTCAATTCCTGGCTTCTATAGTTAAAGGAAATAACCTACAAGGTTTTAGTCAAACATTAGAATTAGCAAACATGAGAAATGTGAGCTACCAAGGTAAGTTTCTGTGCTCTGGAAATTATTCCTTAACTTGGTATTGTGAAGGAATGAAGAGAAGCAGCTGGTACATATGGCACATTTCTGTGAATACCCTTCTTCAAGAACATCCACAGTAAGAATATACTGTATTACGTGTGACACTTAAACCCATTTATAATCAAAGGAGACAGAGCTGTTTAATCATTTGGATCAGTTGCTTAATCTATTTGACCTTCTGAATCTCACACTAAGGAAAATATCTTCTGGACTGAATTAAAATACAGTGGGTCACATTCTATTTATAAGAGATTATTAACAAGCTGTGTGCTGTAATGAACAGTTGGTTCTGTATGTTTAAAAAGAACACGCTGTAACAGTAACTACATTGTGGGAACAGGTATGATTTGGTCTACAGAGAAAATCAGTACAGTTCAAACTACTGAAAAACAGGTTCCTGCAGCAACCACTTCTCCTTTGCAAGGGTCAGAAAAGAATGCTGCTTTCAGCTTTTTCTCATTTGACAAGCCACTGCTGACGAATGAGCTTTCACTACAACTGTTCAAAAGAATGGTAACTTTCTATTTTTGAATGTTTGTGCAATTCGACTAGTTTGGAAAGTCTGACATCAGCGATATACCAAAAAAACCTGAAAGGTAATGCAAACCTGTGGATAGAAAGACTTGCTACCTCAATTTCAAGACTGAACTCACAGTTTGAAGAAAAGACTAAGCCAAAAGTAATTTAACAATAATTACGTAGTACCCATTTCAGGAGCAATCCACTGATATACAAGTACCAGGCCAGGTATGACAAAGTAGGAACAGGTGACCACACTGGTAAGTACAAACTCACCTTTAACACCATCCAGAAATAAAGCAACAAACAGCAGTTCAGAGGCAGCTCTGTCTTTTATGGATGAATTATTTCTATTACTAGCTGGCAAGGCTTACACAGGAAAGTGGACCTTAGAATTTATGGAAGATACTACTCCATTTGTATCTTCCATAAATTCTTGATTACTGAAAGTGTTACATTAATCTGGAGGTACTATTTTGACGTAACATCATCTTGGTTGCTGAATAGCCAACTGCAAAAGGCCCTACCTGCAAGATGATACTTTAAAAGTAAAATGAAGGTATCTCAGCTAGGATTTTTCTACCTATCCCAGCAGCTTAACTTCTGCAGAAAAGTGGAGTAAGCCAAAACTGACTGTTAAAAAACTTCACCAAGCAACACTAACTCTTACACAGTCAGTTGAAACAACTGTGCTTCCATTATTATGTGATATTATTTGAAGCACACTTTGTTGACCCCAGTGGCTGAAAATATATAAAGAAAATAGGAGATATGATCACATCATGTGCCATATGTCATGAGCACATGCTCTTTTGGGAAAGATGTAGGCTTACAATCCATGTTTCATACTGATGTTCATCTGCAGATGAACTACAGCACTGGTGCCTAACCTTTCTTTAGGGATAAGCTATTCAGTTCATAAAGAAACCACTCACAAATGCTACGTCTCTGCTTTATTTGTTGGGTATCATTAAATGTGCATCAGTCACATCAACACATTTAATGCACATGAAAGCACAATACATATTGATTGGTTCACACAAGGAAAGGCCTTCTGTGCATTCTGTAACATAACCGCATGTTTGTGCTATCACATCACCAAAACATTCTTTTATCCTCCACATTTTGATTACGGGTAGACCATGGCAAAAGCAAGCTGTGGGCTGCAAGAATCCCTCATGTGGCTTGCAGTTTGCTACCTATCCACACCTGGAAAGCAAGGGGCCACCTATAAGATTGTATTTTTATAATCTCAGAATGGCAGAGCAGGCATCCACACATTGGAAGACAAAATAAGGGATCTGTGCAAGTGATATTTATTACAGCCCTGAATTCTTTTTTTGATCTAAAAGCACTGACATGTTGTTATTCCCAATGTGACAAAATGGCTACAAAACTCAAAATAATTGCCTTAGGCAAAGCAGTACATAACATGCAGAACTTTAAATGTGTCTGTTCAGTAAATCATGGCTGTGAACAAAACTGAATAGATTTCTGCACTGTCACACAGAGTGACTTCTAAGAACATTTTCCAGAGTTTCCACATGTAATTAAATTTCCTTCAAACTATGACTGGAGTTTCATATAGTTAGCAGACATGTTATAGACTGCTGATGTTAAATACTGTAGCCACGTAAGTAGTACTAGCACCTGAAGACCTGGATCTGGCATTACAGCAAAAAGCAGGAACACTACATGAGAGAGCACAAAAACATGGTACAGATATGACATAACTGGCTGAGTCAAGGCCACAGACATCACACAGCAAGATGTCTCATAAGTAGCGGTGTTAAACAGATAATAGCTTGGTGATTTGGGCACTGCAAGGGTTTTTTGCAGAGACCAATCATTTATCAGTCAGAAAACAAAGTGTCCCAGTACTTATCCGGGCTTTGAGTTTGTAAGAACAATAGGCCCTAAGCTCTGTACTGGCATATTGTCCTTCCCCATGTAGGCAGTAAACTTTCACTCCCAGAACTCTATGTTTCCACACACTCGTCACATTGCATAGTATGCTATCAAAGATGGAGAGTCAATTCCAATTTTACCCAGAAATACTTTCCTTATAACTCCAACCTCTACCTTGCACTTACCAAAAGGCATTCCCGCCAGCCTCCGCAGGCAGTGTGCAAAGAGCGTGCACACCTTGACAGCTCCAGGAAAGAAACACAAATACATGAGCGCAGTGGCTGCAGGCAGATGGATAAGACTCACAGCTTTGTAACTCCCTCACCCTCGAACAAACACCCCGATTCTGACGGACTGCCGTTCGCCCATCGCCCCCAGCTTGCGGACCCGATACCCGCCGGACGATCCCTTCAGGGCTGCGGTCCGAGCGTCAGCACCACACATGCGCGCTGGCGGCCGAGGAGCAAAACGGAAACCACGGCTGCCATTTTCTCGCCCTTCTCAGGGCAGGCCAGGACCGCCCCTCACTGTTGCCGCCGCCACCACCACCGCCGCCAAGGCGGTGTCTCGTCCCTGTCACTCACCGGCGGCGCGATGGGGTTCCGCCCACCGCCGCTAGCGCAGGGTTGCAAGGGCAGTTGGGCTCCTCCTCATCTCTCCGTGGCCGCCGGAATGCCGAAGCTTAGCAAAGAGGCCAAGCAGCGGTTACAGCAGCTCTTTAAGGGCGGGCAGTTCGCCATTCGCTGGGGCTTCATCCCCGTTGTGCTGTATCTCGGTCAGTGCCGGACGGGGCACCGAAGGAGGGGTCTGGGGGGCTGGGAAGGTGGGGGCCGTTGTCGAGGCTGAGAGACGGGGGCGCACACACCCCTCGCTCCCATCCCGCCAGGGCCGTTACTGCCCGTCCGGTAGTAAGCGGGGGGGGGAGGGGGGAGGGGGAGAGAGGGCACGTGCGTGGGCGAGGCGCCCGGCGCCGCAACCTGGGCTCCGCGGCCTGTCCCCGCGCATGCGCGGATGGATGAGACAGGGGAGTGCTGAGGGTAAAGTGGCTGCTGGGATGGGTGTGGCGAAGTAGGGTGAAGGTTCGCCCTTGGCAGAACGGCGAGACGGGTTTTTTGTTTGTTTTCTTTTTTTCCCGTCTTTCAAAAAGGCTTTTCTGCCCGTTTTCCTTCCGGGTGGATGTTTCCGCATGCCCAGTGAGGGGAGGACCTCCATTTGGGCCGCGGGGGGAGCAGGCATCGGAGCAGCTTAACAGCAAGCGAAGCTGCGATTAGACCATGCGTTAGAGACTGCGGGCTTTAGCAGGCTCGCCTGCGTGTTTTTTGCAGTAGGCAGCCGTGTGTGAGGAAGAACTCTGTGCGTCCGGAGTTCTGCTTCGTAGCGCCTCAGCTTCGTGACTGAGATTGAATTTCCAGCTAGGTGCAGGTTACAGTCTCTCCCAAAATGGTGTGGGTGCTATTTATGAACTGCTGTGGTTGCCCCGATGTCATGGCTGGCGGCCCAGGGTGTGTTTCACTTGCTCCTGTCATGGGGCTGGCTAGGCATCACTACCACATGGTAGTTGTCCTGCCGAGTTTGGGCGGTGTGCCATCAGCTGTCCTCATTAAAGAACCTGACCCACTTAAAATACGAATGTGTGCAACAGGCCTGACATTTTTTTTTGCTTCTTTTATGACAAGAGGTCCCAGGAAGACCGATTCCTGCTGTTAATCTGTTTTACCATTGGGCTTTTGGGAAAAACACCTTAGGCAGGTGTGCTCTGCCTTGAATGCAAACATTAAGGAGGGTTGGGAGTTTGGTATGTTTACAGTCCAAACTGATAGGTTTTTTTAATTGAAGGGAATACAGCCCTGCAGATTTGCAGGGCTTTGATTGTTCATGTAGTAGATACAATTAGGAAAAAGTTGGTCTCTTTAAGTTGCATTCATGCTTTAACAAGTACAAGAGGTCCCTTCAAACACACACACACAAAAACCCAACCCTGAATTGGCAGTATTAAGTTTAAACTTCAATTGCATTTCCATTTTTAGTTTATCAGTTGTTTTAAATTGGTATCTTGTGGGTGGGAATTTCGGCAGTGTTTTGTGACCTAGTTTTGTGCTTGCTGAGTTTTTGTTTTAATTTTAACTTTATGACATTATCTGTGAATATTGGAAAAATGCTCTTTGTTCTGAGGGACGCCAGAGGAAATAAGTTAACTTCAAGTCATATTAAGCCATCTAATTGTGTTTATGGTTGTACTAGTATCAGTGTGCCTAGTATATTTGTTATGTTGCAGTGAGAAGCTAAGTTGTAGTAGTTTAACCTCATGCCTCCAGAAAATAAGTGTGCTATTCCACATCTGTATTGCTGCCTTCTGAATTTGTCTGCTCTAAGTGTGAGCAGATGGGAGGGGGGTGTGCAGGTGCCACCTTTACTTGCCTTTACTTTGGAGGTGGCATGCACTTGAATTCTGGTAGAATTGGAAGAACCTCTTTTGTTCTGGGATTACATTCGAGTCTGAGAGGGAACGTGTGATGCAGCACAACTGCAAGAGGCTACACAGCTCTTGATGTCACTAGTTGAAAGTAAATTTGTGTATTGACCCTTGTGTATATGAAATAGACACTAAACTAAACATAGGAAAGGAAACTTTCAGAATTAGCTTTAAACTTTTTCTGAAAGGCTTTCTGGGTCTCTAGGTCAGGATGGCATGCTCATGGGATGTAAGAGGGAGCTTGGTATGTGGAAGTGCAATTATAGGTAACTGGTCTGCGTTTTTTTTTTACACTTGCTTTGAAGTGTCTGCCCTTGTTGTGTAGGTAAATTAGACCAGTGAGGGTTTGTTAAATCTGCCTTTTTATTTTAACGTACTGGGAAGAGAGGAAGCCAGACACATTCACACACATGGAGTGTAACTCCATGTCACTGGAGTGTAACTCCAGTGTCACAAATTTTAAAGTGATTTTGCTGGACAGCATGGCAACCAAAGAAAGTGGATCAGTATGTTTAATAGTCTCAAATCACATAAGGTGGGTTAGCTCTTCAAAGAGCTAACGCAGTGCCCATGAAGTTGATGGAAGTTTTTCCATTAACCTTCATGGCCTATGTTTCAGTCAAGCCAACATTATTCATTTTCTGTAAACAAGGGAGATAATATATTTTTCATATAACATCAATTTCTAGGTAGCAAGTGTGGGAGACCGCATGTTGAACAGTGCATGAAATATATTATTCTGCTTCAAGACTTAAATTATGGTCCAGTGGGCAAAGATATTTCATACAGTGAACCTTCAGTTGCTTCTCTAGTTTGTTTTGATCAGTTGGTATTTGAGTTATTATCTGGGCATGAACTCTTCATAATTAACTTTCCATTTTCCTGGGTGTGAGTAGATTCACAAACATCTTATTTCTTTGCAGGCTTTAGAACTAGGTGGGTTTTCAGAAAGTGCCAGTAAAAGTAGAAGATTTTAGGGTTTAATTGATTCAGCATTTAGAATTCTGTCATTCTACATTGAGTGAACTGTTACTGAAATATTACTCGTAAGTTCTGTATCAGGTGTTATTGCAGAACATTGCCTGTTAGGACTCAAGGGTGCTCACTTGTACCAGTTATAGGTGTCACTGGTGGTACTAAATTGCTTTCTGAACAACATTTAAAATCTGTGTGTTTGTGTGTATGTCTTGATAACTTCCTCCGTCCCACATAGCTAGTTGACCCTGAATTTTAAATCAGATAAAGATGCAGGTAAGAATTAAAGGAAAACTATAAAAATGTACACTCATACTTATTTTCTCTGTTTTCTAACCCTGATTAGAACGTGCATTTTTTATTCATGTTTATACAGGACTTCATAAATTGCAGTTTTCAGTGGGTTTTCTTTTTTTATTGCAGCTTAATGGGCTGGAATAATTTGACAGTGATTTAAGTACTTTGGCATCTGCACATACATATTTTTCCATATATGTATATAATGTATGTTTCACTTCAGGTTTTAAGAGAGGTGCAGATCCTGGAATGCCTGAGCCAACCATCTGGAGGTATGTATCTGTTCCAAATGTACATGCAAATCCAGTGCAGGTAGTCACTCTTTTGAGTATTATCTCTGGACAGCAACAGTTGGAAAGGTTGCTTTCAGCCATTTTGTTGTTTTTATTATTTAGGGTGAAAGCATAGCTGCTTGAGGTTCTTTGTTTCTTTAGAAATTCAAATGAGAAGGCAAGCAAACACAGGTTCTTGGGATGGCCTTTCTCTTAGCCTTCCATGGCTTTTAATATATGGGACTTTCTGTACCTTTTCAGTGGAAGCTGCCCCTCTAATCTGTTGTAGGGCTAGTTTATGCAAGCTCCTGCACTTCTCAGCTCCTTACCATGAATTTAAACCAAAACCAAGTCTTCCTCTGCCTTTGAAGATATGGTAGCAACACTGCATAAAGGCTGCATGAAATAAATGGCTCTGTCCTTCAGTATTAGCCATTGTCGTGAAGCAAGTGCATTTGCTCATGTTGCCTCTTCTGTAGGGGTGTTTATTAATGCTGCAATATCATAGCATTAGTAATACTTGAATTCTTGTGGTATGTGAGTTTTATTGGAGGGCTCCCTTGTGTCAAAATAATTAAAGCTCTGAAGAAGGGGTGACACTTCTGTTTTTCTTGAAATAACTTTGATTAATATAAAGAACCAGGTATTACTAAGACAGAGAATTGATAGACTGTATTGTTTGCAAAGTCACGTATTAACTCTTTTAGCATTCACAGAGTTACAGTGTGTAGGAATCCCCTTTTCAAGATACGGTGATTCAAGGGAGCTACTTCTAACAGTAGAAAATGTGGAAAAAAGTGTCAAGATCATGTTAGAATTTCAGTAAACTCTGTTGTCTTAAGAACTGACTTGGAGTTGTTTGTTGTTTGGACAGTGTTTCCATGTTTAGCTTCACTAGCAGTTTGAGACCTGGTCGACTGTGTCTGCAGAGTACACTTACATGCATTTCATACCAGAATGTTATGTACATAGATACCGGAACCATGTGTTTGCTCTAATACAAAGCTTACAAATGCTTATTTCTCTGAGCACATGTTCATGCTCTGTAGGCTTAAATTTTATTTTAAAGGTGGCATTATTTCAGTATTTTGGGGCTAGCATTTATTCTATACATTTATAGGGCTGTTCCTCCAGCTTTGTGTTTTCCAAATATCCATTTAAAAGGAGGTACATGCTGCAAATCTGACTTTCGTTTCCTTCCTCTCCCCTTCCAGTCTACTTTGGGGATGAAGGAAGTGGTGGTCCTGTTCTAGAACCAGCTGATGGACAGAGAAAGTATCTGAAGATGCGCATTCCAGAGGATGGGGCGGACACTTAACCAGCTGGCTCAATCAGCTTTCTAATGCCATAGGTTGTACATACAACAAAATGGAGTTTATATGGACCTAACTTATTTGCATAACAGTGTAATTAAATAAATACAATTTGAATGGATATGCATTGTTTTTAAGTCTTTACATAAGTTTAATGTAGTAATACCTCTGTTACAGAAAGGATAACCCATTCCAAAATGTGGTGACATTCAACCCCCATATTTATCTCAGTTAAAATAGTCTTTTGGGTGGATTCCTTTTTATCTTCAGAGTAACCAGAAAAGTGAGCTAATGTTTTAAATACTTCAATAATCTTCAAAGATTTCTTTCCCAAATGTTGGTAAGCCTCTGCAGCTGGTCATTGTGGTTTTGTGGTTGGATATGTTTTGGGCTTTTTTCCCCTTCCTCTTGGACTTGTTCATCTCTGGAGGCATTAAGAGTTGAGAGATGTATATGTTTTTAACTCTCTTAGTCAGAAAGTGAAAAATATACTTTTCTGCCAGATTTACCTTTAAACATTATGTACATTTTCCATAATTTGGAATAGGATGGGAGAACACAATAAAAGTGCCCTTTGTGTGTTTATGTATATAGTGCTTTTGTTGTAAGAGAACATTATTAATATATAATGGAAGGAAGAAAACAAGGTATCTGCTTTAGTTTTACTCCAAAGTCTTGCTCTTTGGAATATTATTGGTTTGGCTTCAGTTGGTTTTCCCCCTTTTATATTTCAAAAAAAAGGTGGGAAACATTAAGGAGAGTTAATGCAAACCATTAAATTAAAATTCCATTAATCACAGTAATTAAATCAAATATCATGACACAGTGGAATAGTTAATAGATCGCTGACGGGGAACAGAGCAAGGACTGAACACAAAACATTTTTCATGTTACTCTGTATCCTGTTGCTAGTGCTGCTTTTCTAGTGCCTTTGTTCTAATGGTGACGTGAGATTAATGTAACTGCTCATATGTCTTAAATCATGAAAGAAGTTCAAATTTTGATCCTTCTGCTTGACTGATTCTAATTACAATAGTAATGAAATAATTGGTTGGTACTTGATAGTGGCTTTAATGGTGATCAGAAATATTTTCCTTCTCTTGAATCTAGAGGAATAACCTGAGATATCAATATTAAGAGATAGGGTATTCAGTGTAAAGTAACTTGGGTTTCTCAAAATCTGATTTTGTGTTTCACAGAGTTTACAATATCCAAAGTGCAGCTGTGGGTGGATGGACGCACACACCTGCAGGAGGGTATTTCATGTGCTCAGATATTTGAGGATATGGTTTGTGTGTCT